TTGGTCCTGACGTAAAGTCCGCCCCTCAGAGATGAAGCTGTTCAGCCCTCAAGATACTGCTATAAATACGGACTTATATCAAACACGATAAGTGTCTGTGCGTAGCGCTTTGGCTTTTTCATTAACAGGTAAGAATAGCTATCTAATACCTGTTCACGGTGGCATCGAAGGAGAGTGCAGAGGATGAGAATGGATTATTAGGAGACCTCAGGTAAAGGCGGTGATGGCTTTAGATAACAAAAACGGCACTAAGATAAGCACCCATAGCTACTTTTAAACTCGCTTAATTTATCAGGATTGTGGTCATGCAGGGATGGGATCTTTGCATTGTTCTGAGTAATCTCAGTAACTAGAAGATCAGAAATATAAGGAAAAGCCATGTTATTACAATAACTTTAGGAATCAGCAACAAGTACACGGCGATTAGTAATTAAGGCCAGGAGACAAGCGGTAAGCTTAATTCAGGGGTTTTTCTGTTTGTGTTGGTTACTGCAAGAAAGCTCGATGTGTTGGTTGCTGTGAAAAAAAAAACCAATAGCGCCTAACTATTGCCTGTAGTGGCGGATTCCAGAACTTGTTAGTGTTATGCATTGCGGAAATAAACAATCTAGAACCTAACATCAGTCTGTAAACTGCAGCCATTAAAAGAGATATATCTGTCTGGATAAATTAAATGCAGATAAATCTAACAGCAGCTGCCTGTAAAAATAGATATAAAGACTTTTCTCCCTAATGACTTATTGCCTTTTGTGTATATAAACAGTCAAAAGATCTTAGACCCGCCTAGCTTTAGTGGCTAGCTGAAGCATATCTTTAAGCCTAAATAGGGCTAGGATGTCTCTTTTATTTGTTTGCAGACCCTCTTAAATTGAGACTATTGCTTTCGCTCGAGCATCATCCGATAGCCCACATAGCACAGGGGCGGCCGATTTAGCTGGCTGGCTAAGCACTGTAAAATTAGATGTTTTCTCGCTAAATTGATATCTTTTTTTAAACATAAACAGAGCAGTGGTATGTCCAGGAGAACGGACGTCCTCTCGCCCTGCGATCTTCACTGTGTTTGATGTATCTACTGGAACTTGGTTCTCCACGCTTCACGAGATTCATCGATACCGCCTCAGCATGAGGTCAAAAGCAGCTCTTTGTGCCCTCTGGGCATCCCTTATGCCTCTTTGCCTAGCAGAATCCTGCGATCAACTAGACAACCCTTACCAAGGCCCTGGCGATGCGCAATTCGACATCACTTGCAACGCATATTCACTCGGCGGCAATCAAATCGGTCCCACCATCGGGGTCACCGATTTGTCGTCATGCATCGACTTGTGTGCTACTACGTTTGGCTGCAAAGTCGCACTGTTTGACCGCAGCCAGTATTTGTGCTACACGCTAGACGAATCGGATGGCCCAGCGTCGAACAGTCTGTATGACATGGCTGTTTTGCTGCCATCTGCTGCATCGTCTACGGCAATAACATCTACGACAATCCCGACTACTACATCTGCGGTAGCGGCACCAACACCCTGCAACCAACTCGATAACCCATCCTACATCGACGGTGTCAAGTTCACAATCTTTTGTGGCAAGCAAGCAACTGGCGGTAATCAGGTCGACTACAGCGACCAGCTGCGTAGCTTGACGGAATGCATGACATTCTGCGCTGACACCCTGGCTTGTCGCGCAGTCACGTTCGACAACTCGTTCAACGATTGTTACCTATACGATGGGTTCAATGGTTTCATGAGTGACTCCAACAAGGACATGGCTATAGCAACCCGACCAGTTGCCTCATCTACAACTGAAGCCCCAACCGAAGTTTCTACAACCACATCAATGGCGGCGGCGTCAACTACAGCACCATCAGGACCGCTCTCCTGCGAGCAAATGGCCGGCAGTGTTTATACCGGTCCTAACGAGAACAAGTTTACTATCAGTTGCGATACTTCCTCGACCGGTGAATCTATCTATCGACGGGATGAAGAAGATAGCATGCAGGGATGCGTGGATCGATGCGACAGGGAAAGCAGATGCATTGCTGTAAATTTCCTACCTTCTCCTTATTATGAATGCGATCTGATTGAGTCATTCACTGGGACAAAATCTTCACTTAGTACCAACTTTGCTTCCAAGATAATTTCATCAGCATCAACCTCTGCGTCAGCTGAGACTTCATCAACACTCTACACAAGCTCTTCAACGTCGATATCATCCGGGTCCCCAGAAACTACATCATCATCATCGTTGCCGTCGGCACTCACGTCAGAGACTACGTCAGCGGGCACACTGGAGTCGCTATCATTTACAACTACATTAGTTGTTACTTCCGAAGCAACTGCCTCATTATCAACAACGTTGTCACTATCTACATCGCTATCGCTATCGCAAGACGCTCTTTCAGGGACTACATCGGAGTCTGCACTTCAGTCTACACTAGCGACTACATCTGCTACAACCTCACTGGCGGTCATCTCATCATCGACTGCATTGTCAGCATCTACACTACCCGATCCTTCCTCGTCGTTGTCGTCAGAATCTGTATCAGAGTCAACATCGGATGCCAGATTAGAGTCTACGTCAGCTTCCCTAGAGCCAACTACCGTTGCAACAAGTACGGTCTCACTGCACACCGATTCTACCAGCATCAAGATGTCGACCACCGAGACTTTGACTAAAACATCCTCTGCAGAAACATCAGCCTTGGAGACATCGGGCACCACAACCCTAGCCACCATGATCCAATCAACAGTCACAGAATCGAGCTTGAGCGATACCAGCCGTGTTTCCACTGAGATACAGTCCACATCAGACGCTTCCGCGTCGCCTTCGACCTCATCAACTCCTACTGCAAGTAACATTCCTGCTCTTGGTGAATATGTCTTCACAGGCTGTCTGAAGTCCCTTGAGGGCTATCCATCCTTCAAAGAGGTAGCAACTGATCCAAAAATGACCACCCGAAAGTGTGTCGAGTTGGCTTCCGGAAGCAAGTACATTGGTGTCTATCAAGAGTAAGTCCTTCTCATTAATGGACCGCTTGGCGTGTATCTTGAGCAGTCCTTGTCACAGCTGTTGCCGACGACGCAACTAGACTCTTCTTTCCATTTTTTTACCTATAAGTTCCCAAGCTAATGTCTACCAGGACTTGTTATAAGGCCGATCTGCTTGATGATACGGAATTCATCATGGATGCAAGCTGCGATCTTCCATGTCCTGGAGATCGTACTCTGTTCTGTGGTGGCATTCTTAGCAGCGATCAAAGGCTTCTGCATCGAGCGATTGCACCTAACCGTCTTTTGACCCTCTATGGCAAGGCGGCTTCTTCCCCCTCCGGCTCTACATCCTCTACATCCGCAACTTCCTCTGCTTCTTCCTTACAGACTACGGGAACCCAGACCGATAGAACAACTTCTGGATCAACTTCTACTTCACCCTACAGTCAAACAGACTCATATCACTCTCTTTCTTCCTTTACAACTAGGAGTGCTGGCTCAAAGACTCTTTCGACCTCTCACTCCATCATCGCAGAGACCACATCTGAGACTCGCTTGCCAACATCCCTCCCTACCCCAACTGCCATTCACACTGCTTACTCGACTTTAACAATCGGTCATGCTTACACCAAGTCTCAATTTGCCGAGACGGTAACCACTGTTACGTACACTACCGTCGATCCAAGCAATCCTGCATCTCTGATCACAACTTGTGTTCCGATTACCCTACTCTATAGCCCTTGCGGGTGTAAGCATCAGGTATACCCAACAGTCGATATGACAACTGTGGCTTGTACTCATGGAGGGGATGTTGCTACTCTGACAGTTCCAAAGGCTGCTTATGAGACTGGCAGTGCGATCTATACACATCCGGTTGTTCAGTACCCTTCAGGTTGGGTTGGAGGACATCAGACAGACGCTGTCGGCAACGGTCATCCTGTGATACAGCCTACAGCAGGTTCACATGGTGTTTCCACAGGTGGTAAGCCTGAGAGTCCTTCTCTATCCCCAGGATTCGGAGACAGTTCCCATCCTAGTTACAAGACGTACCAGCCCGCGGCCCATACTTCGGTTGCAGGATCAAATGACGGCCATCAACCAGGGCAAGGGAACCAAAAACCCTCCGTCCCAGCTGATCGCTCACCAGAGTCCAGCACGAAAACTCAGCCGAACCCTTCGAAGCCAACATCTCCAAAGAGCTTGACTACCGAGACAAGTATCTTGACAACACCCCAACTCTACACTTCAGCCATTCCTTCCCAATCAACTCCTCATCGCCAGGGCGAAGCTCCTTCAGAGTCCAAGGAAGCGCCCCATGCTACCGCAGTGGTTGTTTCAGAGGCTCATAGATATGACCTCACACCATGGACTGCGATGACTGCGATAGTTGGGATGATTTTATTCTTTTAAGGAATGCTACCAGTATGGTCAGCTTCTCACGTTTTTGATTGGGGATTACCTTGTTTTCTCAGTTTCTCTGATGGTGCTGGCTTGTCTAAGTCGACGAAGACCGTGGGAGCTCTCAGCTTTCAACAACTGTAAAATCACGATCGGTGAAATTCAAGAGACTTATTGGTCACAGGGCCAACTTTGACAATAAATCGTTGTATATAAGTGAAATGACTACTTCTTGAATATATATTAATTAGCTCTAAGAACTGTGAGACGGTTGTTTACATTTGAAACTGTTGCTCCCTCCCCGAACGCATTGAAGGCAAAGCCCGATCTGCTTTTTTAATCGCTCTACCCCAACATTGCGACAAGCTCTATAGTCTGGAACCATGTGGTAGGGAGCGTAGGAACAAGGATTGAATCTTTCCCGAGGAACCGGATCAGGCATCATGTCTGCCTTCTCTAGCGCTCTTGAGATAGACATATTGAAGAGGTGCGCCGGCCAAAGATCCTCTGCATACAATTTCTTTATATACGCGTGAGTACATTTGCCTTGCCATCCACAGTAACCGTGGCATTTACCAAAGTTAACTCCGCTGATAAGAATATCTGCTAGCCGCAGTCTCACGAAGCCTCTTTGCTCTTCCAGCAAGCCTATTCGTGAATATGTTAGTTACGTGTCCCCACCATGACTGAAATACATACATAATACCTCCCACGGAATAATAAATCCACCGTTTTCCCCGGACAGAGAAAGATAAGACCCCTGATGGTTGAGGACCAATGCTGCAGTGATTTCCCTAAACGCTTTGGCATCCCCGAAGAGGTACGCCGCGGCAGCGAGAAGCATGAGATCTTCCGGTTTGACTTTCAGTTCCCGGAGCCATGCCTTGCTGGCAAATTGTAGGGCATTCATACAATCGTACTTGTCTGCGGCGATGGCGACAGCGAGGACGTCGCTAGCAGGGAGGATCTGTGGAATCTTATCGTTCTGGAAGTGAATGACAGAACATATGATTTCCATTGCAGTAGCATTGTCCTCCGGTAGTGGTAACTCAAACGGGCCATTATGATATCGCATATCATGGCCTTCTCTCCAATTTGGCCCAAGCATGGCTGAGAAGGGTTTTGAGGCTGCCCTTAATAGTATGGACTTGATAAGAAGCTTCGTCTTATCAGATCCAACTACCAGAATGATGTCGCCATCTGGGACAATTTTCACCATCTGAGGACCTGTTGTGTTTGCCATGATTGACCCGAACCGCTTGTTGTAATTTCGTGGAACGGTCGTTGGCAGACGAAAGATTCTTGCTTTTTGTGGTGCTGAGTTGATCATCCCCTGTTGACGGATGCATCTGAGCTTCTGATACCTCGGGCTGGTCAAACGAGATCCCATTTGAGTTTTATGATCTTGCAATTTATGCTGTGGCAATTGGTCAAGCATTTTGTGATTATGGATAAGTTGCAAGCCAAACATGTATATTTGCTATAGAGACTTGTGGCTTAGAGCTTGTATTAGTACAGAGAACGTTGATTGGCAAAACACCACGGCTCTTAGTCGAAAATACCCCGCACTATATGACTTATGGCGTTGAATCATTATGCGTACATGTGTAAACGTGTTGTGAAGGCTTTTATCTGCATTGAGAGTTATCTTTTTTGCACGTGGAAACTCAGCCAAGGGTGATATCTTAGCTTAGCTAGCTGACCTGATTATACGCAGCATCCCTGCAGTCTGTTTCCAAGAGTCTCGCTTTGTGTAGGGACTAGATAAATCTGATAGCCGATGCTTGCATTCCGTCTACTATCTTGGGTTCATCATGACATGGAATAAAATAACACATTGATATTGAAGATCAAAATGAAGACTACCGCTTTCCTCAGAGCTATCTTCTCAATATGTTTACTAGCAATTGAGCTAGATGTGTTATTTGAAGTTGAGGCCTGTGGCTGAGAGCTTATTCCAGCAGACAGAACCTGGCTTCATGTCATGTCCGATAGCCCGTAGCACGCCGCCATAGCTCAAGATACAGATTGCAAATGCTTGTAGTAAAGGTTTCAAAACTGTTTGCCTTGCAAAGGTTCTCATTTGCAGCGTAATAGCTCCTATCTAACCGTAAGCATACTAATGCCTCTATCTGCGGGGTACTATCATTGTTATAGCATCATGACAGTTATAGTACGTAGGCGCTACCCAAACTGTGTTAAGCTTATGATGTAGTCATCCGCTAGCAGGTGCTCTCTAATCCCTGATTTGACTAGTCTAATTGAATGCTTGTCAGTTGGAACAAGACTGGATGAGCCAGAATGGACAGGATGCCTCTTCCACCCTGCGAATTGTATCATAGCTGCGACATGCACACCCTACAACTCAATTGAAAATGGCTGGTATGAAAGGGCTATGTCATATTTGCAACACAAGAGGCTATCATACCCCAATTTACGGAACTACCCAACGTAACAGGGCACGCGTTGTTGCATAAACTTGCAGTCATAGTCCAAGAGGCTTTCTACAAGACTATGGACCATAAATAACAAGACATTGGCCCTCTTGGCATACTCAGCATCCTCTAGAGTCATGAGACAAGCCTTCAAAAGAGCCGCTTTACTAGACCTCCAATCTTTTCCTGCACCTGTCACTCACTCTACTATACTCGAAATGGGTAAATCCGGCAAGGACATGGCATCGCCAGCATATAAGCCCCCGTTCCCGCCAACCTCGTCCCTGGTCTCTCAGGATGATGTCGTCCTCCCTGCAGCCTTCAACGACATATCGCCCTTAGCAAGGGAACTGCAGCCACTAAGATATGAAGCTAGAGATGAGGTGCATAGATTTCTCAGCGCCTTTCTCGATCTTTCTCGATTCAATGCCATACGTAAGATGTTATGGCTAATCGCCGTCCATGGAGCTCCCCGATCATTATACTACCAGAAATTCCTACGCCGCGAAATTGTAATCGCGGAAGAACTGGATCTTCATCTTGTTTGGGCCAAGTCGAGAATATTTATCAAGCCACTGCCGGACTTTCTCCTCAACTACGATTTCTGGGAGACCAACATATCTTGTGACCCTCAATTGCACCGAGCAGCCTGCGGCCTTCTGTACTCTTATTGCGGCCTTATTCGTTTTGGCCATGATTTGCGAGTCGCTCAAGAATCTCGCCTGATCAATGAGAACCTGGACTACCGAGCTTGGTCGGATTTTGCCCGTACAATACTGCCAAATCTCAACCCCAAGGATCCCAATATTATGGACAGGCGATTCCAGTACGGCGAGCTGCGGTTAAATCGACTCGACACGATTTACCGATACTCGCCTTATAAGTTTTCCATATCCAGTATTCTTCAAGGCTTCCCCCATGCTTTGACCGAGAGCTATGTGCCTTACATGGACCAGTACAATAACGCAGTGTCAGCCTTCGGTGTCATTGTCATAATTCTGTCGGCCTTCAATCTATCATTAGCCTCACACTCGAACAGCCCAGATCCTGATCTTCAGCAAGCAGCATATGGCTTCAGTATATTTGCGATGATTTTATGCGCAGCCATTACTGGATTATTTATTGTTTTACCCTTGATTTCCTCCTTAGCGACAGTCTATGGCTCCTTTGCGATACGAAGACGACTTGAGAATAGAAATGAGGACAATTATGCGTAGTTTAGTTGTTATTGCCTGCATGCTGTATTCTTAGTCTAGTATACTTTTATCACGATGTTCATGCTTAAGAGACGAAAACCAACTATAACTGTGTTGATCTGTGTCTTCTCTTAGGATACTTATTTACGCTGTGGGAGGGAGGCCTTGATGGTAGTCTCGAGACTAGAAATAATCCTTATCTCTTGACACTGAGGCATGGAAGTGTTATATATGCGTATGGAAACTCAGCCATTATCATTATGGTCTAGGAGATAGTTACTGATGGAGCCAAAAGTTGATATAGTATATTATCTGCAGAATACAGTAAATATATATAACTATAAACTTGAATAAAGATCATAAATTGTGAAATCTCTGACTACTTCCTTACGAACATCTCTCTTCCCCAGTCTTTACATGGAAATACAACAGCCCGCATTACGTCGCCGTTGTGGCTAAAGACAAAATTTGAAAGTAGGGCGATTAAAGACTTTGGCGTCTCTTTGCCTTGCAAGAGGGACTTTTTGATAGAGGAGCAGTAGTTTCAATAGCCTTTGAAGTTGTTGAAGTCTTGACATCAGTGTCAACAGAAGAGTGTTCCTCGGGGATGAGGCTGCTCAGTGCCGTAGGAATAGCAAGTGAAGTAACCTCGTCGGCAGTAGCAGAGGTAGCAAGAGAAGCAACGGTACTGACGGGGACAGTTACATCAACTACAGCAGAAGTGTTAGCGGCGGTCTCAGCCTCATCGGGGACGGAAGTCTCTACACGAGCGGTGGCTTGAGCCTTGGCGCCGTCGGCCATGCGGGGACTGATGGCAGCAACACCAGGAAAGAAGGAAGGTCGGATAGTGGGGATCGCAATGGAAACGGTAAGGCCAAGACCATTCTCAATCTCCCCATCCATGGTCGGAGTGGCAGCGCTGGCAGCATCAACAGTCTGTGTAGTCGTGTAAGCACCACCATCGCCCTCTTTAAGACAAGCTCCAGATCCATAAGCGTTCTTGCAAACATGCTCAACGGTGTCGCCCTTGTTGCTACCAACAGCGAAGTCATCGACCTGCATGTCAGTGCAGGGGACATCGGCTGGGCAGTTGAACTTGATAGGTCCTCTCTGATGGCCATCGGCGCAGGTTCCGGACCAGCCGGAAAAGGTCATGTTGGTGTAGAGAATACCGTCGCCGGCGATGGGCTTCATAGAGCTCCACTGGGCATCAAGATCGAGTGTGTAGGCGTTGGAGTGGCCAGCAAAGTTCTTGAGGGCAACGTTATTGACGGTGCCGCTGCCGCCATAGGATTTGAACATATACATCTGATTGGAGCGCTGTGTGTAGATATTTTTGTACTCGATGTCGTGGATATCTAGTCTGGATTAGCGTTGATTGGGTAAGTCGGGAGTAGTGGTTACCAGTATCGGTGGCGAGGGATCCCATGGCGCAACCGCCGGACCAGTTGCAGAAGATGTTCTCGATCAAGAGGTGGTCAGAGGGGTTCTTGACGGTGACGCACTCGTCCTTGTTGCTGACTTCAACATCGTGGATACTAAATGAGGGTTAGCATAGCTGAATCGGAAGAAAGGTGTTACGAGGCATTACTGGATATTCGTTCCCCAGACGTCGATACCGTCGAGACCACCGCGATTGCCTCCGTGAATGGCCATGTTGTACACTTCGCCATCGGAGCAAGTGTCAATGGAGAAATGGAACGCAGGCGCTAGTTTTGTCAGTATTATTACAGATTGGGCGTGGGCATACTCACAGTCAACCAGAGCAACGTCGTGGATGGAGAAGCTCTTGACGTCGGCGAATCGAAGGATACGGGGGCCATATTCATTCTCTGCTTTACGTTAGTGACTCGAACCAGACTTATAGCCATATTTGAAACATACTCTTATGGAATTCATATCCATAACCCTGGATAGCTCCCTTGGAGGTGCTACTGTAAAACTCAAAGTCTTCCAGATGCTTGAACATGAACATATTGCCTCCATCGGTGCCAATTCGGTAGATAATTCCATCGAGACGGAACGACATGGGCTTGGAAGACGTCAGTGTCACCCAGGTACTCATACCATAGTCGCCTTGTGGGACGTAAACCTCTCCGCCGCCAGTTCTGCAATCATTCCAAGCTTTTTGAATTGCCGGACCATTATCGGTCTTGGCATTTGCCTTGGCACCGTAGTCTACAATGTTGCAAGTCTTGATGGCAGCCTTGGCTGAGGCAGTAGTGAGAGGTCCAACCTTTCCATTCAGCTGCGCGGCAGCTTGGACGGCGGAACCAACGGCAATCAATGCCGAAATAAATGAGTGACGCATAGTGAAAGTAGAAGAAAAAGAGTGTGTATGAAAATACGTGTAAACGAAAGACAGTTAATGGCACCGAACAGAAACGACAGACAGAAACACAAAGAGATCTGCACCCTCCGAGGTTCCGATTATATTTAAACTACAGAGACCATTCGTAATCTTACAAGCTAGCGTTCGAGATTGATGAAGAATGATCGGATATTAATGAAGGTCATTTCATTGTGGGCTACGTCTCCCGATTGCAGGGTTCATGAAACGACCCAATGGTTCGGCACGACCAAATCTGGAAAACCCACCAATAAGCAATTAGAACGATCGGGTATAAGATGCCGCGACGCTTCTAGATTAGTTAGTCCCAAACATGCCTTTTATCGATCAAGGGGTTATACGCGTACATATCGTGAGCCCTCGGGTTCCTAAAGGTTATTTCACCGGGAGCATCTGTCAAGTCAAGCGCTCCCAGCAACGAATTTTATACGGATCAGAGGGTTTACCACAACCTATTCACAAAACAGCTTCAATTCATGTCACTGTAGCGGGAGGTGGCTTACGTTACACGACAGCGTTTGGTTGAAAGACTAGCTGAACTGCCCATTGCCTCATAGCATCTATAGTAACTTTATATAGGAACAATGAGATGAAAATAGTAATTATACATATCGGAAGTAAATGTAGATATGACCCAGAAGAAAATACCACTCTTTAAACTCTTCACTGACGCCATCACGAGCGTCAAAATGATCAAAATTTGGCCAAGACCTGCTAGTCTTCAAGTTGCTCTATCCAAGGTTTGCGCGTCACACATCTGCTTATACATACCATTCTGGCTGATGAGGTCATCATGTTTGCCAGCTTCCACGATTCTGCCTTGATAGAAGACGCAAATCTTGTCAGCGTCACGAATTGTCGATAAACGATGGGCTACTGCAATAGTAATTCGATCACCACTGGCGGCAGCGTCCATCAAAGCCCTTTGAACAACCCTCTCCGACTCGGTGTCAAGTGCCGAAGTTGCTTCGTCTAGCAAGATGATACTAGGGTTTCGGATCAGAGCGCGCGCGATGGCAATTCTTTGTCTCTGTCCTCCAGAAAGCTGGCTACCACCCAGGCCACAAAGGGTGTTAAGCCCTTCGGGAAGAGAGCTCACAAAGTCCCATACGTTTGCGGCACGGCAAGCTGCTTCCAAAGCATCATCCGTGACATTAGCCTGTTCCTCTGGACTGATATCGAGTCCAGCAGCAATGTTCTCGCGAATGGACTCGGGAAACACAGTAGGCTCTTGCTGAACGAGAGCTATTCTACTACGGTAAAGACAAGGGTTGATAGCAGTGAGAGCCGCCGAGCCGTCGATATTGATAGTGCCACTCGCTGGGTCGTAGAAGCGCTCAAGAAGAGATATCATAGTACTCTTTCCACAGCCAGATGACCCGACAAAAGCCACAAACTGACCACGTTCGATCTGAGAAATGTCAACATGGTTCTACTCAGCTGCTGCTAAGTACTTACTGATAGAGACAAGCCTTTGATGACTCGTTTTTCGGGAGCAAGAGGGTAGGAGAAATGGACGTTTCGGAACTCAACTGAACTCACGTCGTTTGCAGGGCCCTTCTCGCTACTATCGTCAGTGTCTCGGATGATCGGCTGTAGACAAGTAAGCCAAAAGTAGTAATTGGCGGCGGAATTGGCCTTGGTGAAACCTGAGTCCTTGAGTCAGAAGCTGTTGGGATGTATGGGAAAGGATATACTTACTGCTTGAGAAACTGAAGATTGTACCAGCGGCTTGACCGGAAAAGAAGACACCCAAGAAGGATATGATGAAATGGGGAAAGGTGATTTCTCCTTGCGAAACCAGCTTTGATCCAAACCTAAAGCTGTCAGTCATGCTTTGCAATACGAGAGGTTGCCGGAGACTCACCAGAACCCCAGCGCAAGAATAAAGAACTCAATGGACTGAGTAAAGGAGAACCAGATCATCATGTGAAACAGTGGTTTTGTCGAGCTCCAGACTGCCCTGTCAAGCTCATCCATGTACCTGGTCAGAATGCTCTTCTCAATCGCAAGCGAAGAGACTGTACGGATGGCATTCACGCTCTCAGATTCTATTGCAGCACTGGTCAAGAATCTCTCATCAATACCAGCGTTTAACCGCGTTTCAAGGCGAATACGAGCAAACCCGGCAAGTAAAAGAGGAGGCATGCCAGCGAAAACACCAACAAGTCCAAGCTTCCAGGCATAGGCTAGAGCTAGGATGCTGCTGGCGATAATGTTGATGACGCACTGAAATGTCAATGCTACGTCGAACCCCATTAGATACCCTGAGAGTGGGAGTCTATGCGGCTGACAAGGGCGCCAATAGCGTTCTCTGGTCTGTCAAAGAACCGCAGATCTTGCCTCAGCATACCGCGGAAAAGCCCTTCTCTGACATTATGGCTGAGAGTCTGTTTCAAATCAGACTGGTGTCTACTGAGCATGCTGCGCTGAACTTACCTGAGCAATAATGTTGGAAATCCATCCCATGATGAAAAATACAATCAAGCTTCCAAGAGCGACGACAAAGTACATCAAGGACACAAAGTCGCCGCTCTTGGTCATATTAGAGGATGTGAAGACATCCATGACTTCAGCAAGCAGTAGTGTTTGTCCGGGGTAGACGGCAGCTATATCCATTAGTTAGAGGGTTCATGACGAAAGGCGGCTATGGGTATTGGAACTTACCTCCAACGGCACAAGCAATAGCAATAATCACGAAGCAAGTCCTGAGCTCAGGAGCTGAATTGATAATCTTCCAAATGGTATGCAAGAGCCCCGTAGACTCATACAGACTGAAATCCTCCCTTCTGACCTGAGAGGAGATATCCTCGTTGACCGCTGAGTTGTATTTGACGAGTGATTGTACCGGCTCCACGGCGCCAGTAGATGCTGTAGATTCGTCGTCAGAAGCCTCTATAGCCAAGCTCTGTTTATTAATAGATAAATCCTGGGCCTTCACGAGCATGGCGTAGGTGCCTTCAAGGGCCACGAGGTCATCATGGTTACCCTGCTCGACAATCCTTCCCTTGGACATCACCACGATGTTATCGGCGTCTCGGATCGTGGCAAGCTTGTGGGCAATAACTAATGTGGTCCTGTTTCGAGAAGCATTGTTGAGTGCCTTTTGGACGATAGCTTCAGAGTGCGGATCGAGCGCCGAGGTAGCCTCGTCTAGCAAGAGGATAGAAGGGTCAGAAACTATACTTCGAGCTATAGCAATTCTTTGCTTCTGTCCTCCCGAGAGAAGCCCTCCCCTTTCTCCGATGCGTGTTTCGTATTGTTCTGGGAGGCTCTGGATGAACTCGTCTGCGAATGCAAGTTTGGCCGCGTGTTTCACCCGCTCCTCTTGGGTTTCTCTTGACTGATTCTCCCAAGCAGTCCCAACGAGGCCATTGGCAATGTTCTGGAAGACGGTTTCGTTGAATAGGACGGGTTCCTGTACAGCGTTAGCGTCGGTTGCTGAGGTCACATGTTAAACACACCTGTTGGACAAGCCGCATTGTGGTACGAAGCCAGGTCACACTCAGATCTCGCAGGCTGATTCCATCGAGCGTGATATCACCAGAGGAAGGGTCATACCATCGTTCCAGAAGGCCAATGATTGTACTTTTTCCAGAGCCACTGGAACCCTGCCGAAACGTTAACCCTCTTCTGGCCCAGTAAAAGAGTATCTAATACCACTAAAGCTGTAACCTTTCCGGCCGGAATGTTAACAGAAAAGTCTTCGAGGACACGTGTATCAGGCCGCGTCGGGTAGGCGAAGGAAATCGATTTGATGGCAATGGTACCAGATACATTGGTAGGAGTCTGGCCTGAGTCGTCGAGCGGGTTGATCTGCGAGGTCCTGTCGATCAAAGCAAAAAGCTCCGCAGCGCCAGTGCCGGCACGAACAAAAGAAGATATGTTTGGAGCGATGCCATTGATCGAAGTTGATCCGATGACGACGGAGAAGAGGACACTTCCAGCGGTCAGCAAAGAGCAAAACTAGGAGCATGAACAAAGAGGCCTTACGTGAAGACGGTCCCAATACCATCCACCTCCCCTCGGGCTATCATCCTGATTCCCTGCCAGAAAGCAAGGCCCATACCAGCGTAGATAACGAAATATTGCCAGGCAAACATGACCCCATATACCCCAGACTTCCTGCGGCATAGCTGTCGGGAAGTGTCGAGGACGGACGTATACTTGTGCATAATCCTCGGCTCAAGGTTGAATGCTTTGATTGTACGGATACTCGCCAACGCCGTTTCGGCGTACTGAGCGGCTTGGGAGAGTATCTTCAAGTTCTTGCTGTCAATACCAGCGTCAATGGTGGCCATGGTGCCAATTACCAGCATGATGGCCGGCATGATGCAGATTAGAATGAGGGTAAGCTTCCAGTAACTGACAAACGCAATGATAAACGACGCGATAAAGGTAGTAAGTGAGACAAAGAAAAGCCCAACCTTGTCTGCGATGCCGTGCTGGATCAACTTTCCGTTGGATGTGCCTTGCATGGCGATAGACCCCGAGGTTCCGAGGTCGAAATAGCTGATCTCTTGACTGAGGGCTGCTCGGAGGTATGATTGTCGGATGTTGTTTGTGACTCGGAAGGAAACGAATGTAAAGAGCGTGGAGTAAATATATGTACATGCTAGCCGAGCGATGCCAATATACACAAAGTAGAGTCTGTTGTAACGTTAGATAGTTGTAGAGGAGTGCATATCGTGTGGATGGTTACGATTTGTTGCCGACCTCAGCCATGAAGCCCTCGGGATCTGTAGCTATACGCGCTGGATTGCCCATGACGTCCATTAACTGACCTATAACGAGGTTCATCATTGCCATGGCTACGCCAGAGCCGATAGCGGCGAGGACGGCGATGGCTTCAAGTACATGATCGAGAGGCTGACAGTAAGTGAAGATTCGCTGTCATTATTAACATCAGTATACTCATTGACTCCAGTCTTGTTTTCGAGAAGTGCGTTGAGCGTCTTACCAGAAATGCAGCGAATCCAGACATTGGTTTTTGACCGGACTGATCAGAGCTGTTGTTTGGCGGATCTGTGTGTTTCGCACGTGCGACTTTGTCGGTGTTCTCCATAGTGACATGAAAAAAGGGTCAAAGAAGAATGGAGTCTGGTGCGAACACAATCACGGAAGAAGTATTGAACAAGGGAAAAGATACATGAAAAGTGTAGAACGAGGTGAATTGAAGAAAGGAGTGTAAGTAATAACAAATAGCTAGAAATGCATGTCAGTAGTAAAAGCAAGCGGCTAATATCCTTAGTTTTACTTTCAGTCCTGAGTTAAAAGATTCATTCATAGTCGTATTCCTCGTCTGTGGCCTGCGGTGTGCGGCTCGCCAAGAGGCCGTCCCCGCGGTAGTGGCATGTTAGTTAGCATCTCGGAGCGGACTGCCAAGGTTCCATGGTACCGCACTTTCGCCTCGCTTGAGGCCTGTCCTGGTATAGCCTCAGTGGAACAGGCACTGGTCTTGAAAGTGATTGGTCCGGAGGGCAAGACCCATAACCCGTAGCTTAGCGTCGGTAGCAAGCTTTTACTACTGTAAGCTTCAGAGTCTTCGGCTTGCGGACTCTCAATTTCCCTCCTCCGCCATCATCTTGGTCCAATTTGGAGCATTCCTAGCAAGACCATCTCGCGGAAATGGTGACTGAAAGGGCTGATGCCGCGCAGTTGTCTTCGGGTCGGGAGGCAGATCATCTCCATCAGGACGAGGAGCATGACGACATTGGTGACGCCCCTTTGTCCACAATTTCAGCAAGTCCCCTGGAGATCAAGCGCTGCTCTTCTGCTGACCAAATAAAATCAGTGTGATCGGTGCCGCCGCAGAAAGGTACTATCCCTGTATACTCATGTTTGAGAAGACTCCGTTGAAGGTTTTTGTTTTGGCTGATATGCAGGATTGTTAGGTGCGCTGCGACAGGAGACATCCGTGTGCCTACTGTGTACGCACAGGGAATACCTGCACGTATCCGTCTAAGCACAAGCCTAAAGAAAGACGATAATGCGTTTTTATCTCAGAGACATAGTAAGTATATGCCTCTCTTTTCTTTTGTTCTTCTTATTCTTACCGTACTGAAAACTCTCAGCGAGAAAAAGATAGATAATATCGCGGAGAAACTCGCGGAGCTAAGTAATGCCTTGGGAGCTGGCCAAAACTCAACTCAAGGCGCTGCAACTCCTGCAACTGCCGCCTTACACATCACAACACAGCCACCCGAAACAACATCTTCATCGCCTGGCAATGACGTTGGGGGGGAGATTCTTACTCCAAGGCTGGAGCACGAAGGAGAATCCTCTCTCTCAGCTCAAGCCGCTTTTGCTAATGAATTCCTCGAAGATGCTATAATCAACAAGCCAAATGGCATCGATGTCGCCACTGAGATGTCTTCCGTTCTACAGTCTTTGATAAAGTCGTTGGGAAGGGATTCAAAGCCACAGGAACTGGATTATCTGTATCCTCATGCTAGAGCCCTCAAGTCAGGACTTACACTACGCAACCTTCCTATGCCACCCGTAGAGAAAGCTTTCATCTGCCTCAGAATGGCCAAAGGTATTAGGAATCGTATTTTATTCCTTCTGCGCTTGTCCAATGCTGAAAATTCTATGATAGAAAACCCCAGAATCCGGTTCTTTTGGGATAATGAAGCGACGTCCTTTACTGACATCTCCCTCAAGGTGTACTCGCCAGGAGACGTTACTCACGCCGACCTCATCACAGTTAACGCGGGATTATATTGGCTGTTTCGTCAATGCAGACAGATGATCACAGATTCGTGCCAAAAGGCTGACTTTGAGGCGCAAGCTCTCATTTGCAGGGACAATCTCGAGACCGTATTGGCTAATCTGCCCTTTCACCAACCCTGCGATACCACCACAGTCAGTTCAATGATGTTATCTGTAGGTAGGACCGACTATTTATTGTAGCATGTTGCTAAGTTCCTCCAGAGCATATACTGCCTAGAAACATGCAAACCTTCTGCAGCATGGGACTTTATCACATCCGCGTCACACTTAAGCCAAACTCTAGGCTTACATAGCAAAACCACCATGGCTCTCGATCCTCCAGACCTCAGAAGCACCAAGATCGGAATATTCTGGCTGGTTTACATACAAGAGAAGGGTCTCTCTCTTAGGCTTGGTCGGGCGTCAACCATCCGTGACGCCGACATCACTATCCCGGTTCCGAGCATGGAGTGTAGACCGAATATAGGTTACTTTGGCCAACTGGATAAGATGAAAGAATTGGCCTCCCTACAAGGCAAGATCTACGACCAACTCTATAGTTCTGCTGCTCTGGCGCAGCCACAGAGTGTTAGAGCCACGAGGGCAAGAGGTCTTGCATCAGAGCTTGAAATGCACGCAAATTCAGTAGGACCTAGCGATGTATGTATTCAAAGAGCCTTGTTAATGGTACCAAGAAGGTAGACATAATAGGTCTGGACATCCCTTACTGACAAGCCCACAGAAGCTGTACTTGGACGCGCTGCGTCAGGCTACCGGTAGCGAGTTTGTGAAGGCCTTCGTCTGCACCACCAAAGTGCTCCACTTATCCCTCTTCTGCCTCATATTCAGAGCCATACCTGGTGAGACGAAACAGGGTAACATGCTTGGAAGTGAGTGTATTGATAGTGCCCACCGAGCTCTTGAAGCACACAAGGAATGGCAGTCTGTAGTGGCTACATTACAGGATGAATTTCTAGAGACCTATGTACACTTGTATGTATTTCCGAATTTGTCTCAGTACATTTGTCTAGCGTCCTCTCTTTATAGGGCTCTCATACATTCGCCCTTCGTTCCATACGTTGTCGTCTTTTGTCACATTATCGAGACTGGCGACAAAAACGGGCTTGAGCTGCTGGAAAGTGTCGTCAAGACCTTACAACCCCCTACAGACTCGGCGTTCTCTTCTGGGCCTAGGAAAGAGTACCATCTGTTTAAAGCTTTACATGATGCCGCTCGAAAGTACCTTGAAGCTAGACAGAGCAAGGATGCTATAGTCTTTGGCTCGTGGGAAAATGCATCTTGCTCTACATACGTGCCAGCACCGACTCATCAACAACCTGCCATGGTCACGCCGATTTTAAGCTTACCAAACTCCCAAAATTCTGTAAGCACATCGTTGGAAGGGACAGCTGAATGGATGCCTCAGCAGTACGGTACATCTGGTGACATGGATGCTGATATCGACCAATATGGGGCACAGCTTGGGAATTGGCTTCTCATGAACAATCAGATGACAAGGGCTCTTGAAGATAGCTACTTTTTGGATGACATGGTCTGGGAGGAATGTCGAAACTGAGTCATAACCTGAAGTGCCTTACTACCAATTGCTTTGCTATTCTTTAGGAAACTATTTACATTATGAACATATCAAGTGATTCACCATTCGAGCTGGGCTTTACCTCGGATAACTACTGGTTTGGTGGTTCCTCTAATAAAGTAAATAATCCCAGAGTAATAGGAATCTATACAAGTTTCTCAGGACAAGTATGACTGACAATGTTCCCAATTTGGCTTTCTCTCATTACCAAGGATATGCCTGTGAGTCATAAGCATTGGACCGAACCGGAAATTGACAAACTTACTCTACCATCCCAGCACCAGAATGTGCCAGTATCATTATGATCCTTCTCACTAATCACCTTAAGCATTCCGGAGATACTTTCATCTGGCTCTAAAAGTGTCCCCACATCCCAAGTTCCAACTTCGCCCGAGTTCATATCCCTAGTCATCATCAGTCAAGCTGTAGTACTGGAGTGGGAGTACCTACGTGTGCACCTCGCCAGGGTGGAGAGCCAGAACACATATCTCAGCCCACTTGCCACCGCGCCTCTTCAACTCCTGCGCCATATGTCTCAGCATTTGGTTCAGTGCAGCCTTGCTTGCCGCATAGGCTGCGAACCCGTCTTCGTACGCTAGAAAATTGGTTGTTGACCCGGAGTCAGATGAGATGAAGATCAGTTTGGAAGGTGGGCTATCGGGATTCAAGTTGACGAGTTTTTGTGCGCATATGATAGGTCCAATGGTGTTGGTTTCCATGTGGAATTTGAAGTTGTCGTAGGATCTTGGAGCTCAAGTCAGTATTAAAGGTGAAGGGGGATGTTCGTTGTGTCATTACAATTCCGTTGCTCGATTTGGGTATCTGAGAACACCTGCATTCATGACGATGTTATCGAGCCTGGTTCCCTTGTTGACAAGCGCGCTCATCCTGGCAGCAAAGTTCTGCGTATGAAGCTGTTAGACGTGTGTGTAATGAGTGACTTAGAATGACAAGTTGGCCTTACATTGATGCTTTCGCTGCTTGCCACGTCGCACTGCTCAATGATACAATCTTCTGGATTACCATGAGTTTCAATCACCGCCGACAATCCCGATGCATCTGGGTTGCGAGCTGTGGCAATCACACGGTTTCCTGCTTGGAGGAGCTGCTTAACATACTCGAGACCGATGCCCCGCGAAGCACCGACCACTACCCACGTTGCAGGTGTTTCGGTCGTGTTTGACATGATGGTTGTTCAGAAGTGGGTTTGGTAAAGGTAGAACGAGTTCTGAATGATAGTGCAACATGAGAGTTGAGAACAAGGCGAGTATTTAATTGATAGCTTCTCTCATCGCGGACCAAGGTTGCGATTTAATACCTACATTTGGCTTAGGTAAGAATGCACTGCGGGCGCGGGGTAAGCATAGCCAGTCCAGCAAATCTGTGTATATTATCTCCCACGATTCTGAACCCCTTCATAACTCAGAATACTTAATCCTGACCTTTTTGAATATCAAAGTTAATACGTTTTAATGTTAAAATTTAGTTAGTGCGTGGTGCTTGAAAGCTGAAAACTTTAGCAACACATGCAAGAGAAATCAACATATCATCCAATAGCGTTATTTCGACACGTCTCTATCCCTACACTATGTCGCAACTATAGAGGAAAGCTTCGTTATTATACTCTCTGGCGAAGGCTTATAAAGTTTCCTTTGTAGTTCTATTTCTGATGAACAGAATTGTCCAGTTTCTGTAAAGAGCAGCTCAGTAATTGGCCAGGTCTCCGCGACCATGTCCAGACCTACACTGAGCCATATCTGGTTAGAGCGTCTAGATTATGTCATTGCCTCTTAGGGCGAATGATTTTCTCCACGCGTCGCGAAATGCTCAACCCCCAGACCGATTCAAATCCGTCCGTGTCAGAAGAGAGGATCGCGGATTGACAGCAGCATATATCCCCATCAATTTTCTGTTTACCAAATGTCTTCAGATCCCCCAACCATGCAGACAAATAAACCCAAAGCGTCCACCAAGAAGCCAAGGGCGCCAAAGACGCCAAAGGTCAAATACAGAAGGATGACAATCACGAAAAATCGTGCATGCACAAGAGACGTGTACCGAGACTTATACCATCACCCTGAGGACCTTCCCACCATCGGCCACTTTAATGTGAACGAACTAGACGCTGAATATCTCCGGAAACTGTTATCCCTCAACATGCCAAACCTCGAAGGCATCAATTTCAGATTCCGGGAAAGCGCGCTTTCAAGGTTGGATGAGGGACGCAAGAGAGAATTGAACAGTCGCATGGTTGCCAAACCAAATTTGAAGACGTGTAAGCTCAAGTGTCGCATTTTTGGATGAATAGCGGTAGCTAACCACCTGCCAAGTCAATTTCATACAGGATAACCCTCGCGAAACGTACACCATGACGTTGCAAGATATTCCACTGCTTTCCCATCCAAGCCTCACAACTCTGAAGCTGCAGAAAGTTAACATTGGAGCCTTAGGACGGCCGTCTGTCCGGGCTCTGCCATTTGAGAACCTTGAATCCTTTTACATCCATGCCCACGACTAATCATACGAGGTTCTGAACAAATTCCTCAAGAACGCAAAGTCGCTCAGACATCTAGAGTTTCACCATCCTTTTGATGTATGCACACAGGGATCCCCCAGACTTCTCTGAACTCCTCCAACCGTCCAAGAGCAATCTCAAAATACTAGAGCTGTGGTGGGATTGTCATGATGCACTTTCCTTCAACAGTCCCGGCATGAAATTCGCTGAGTTCACAGCCCTACAATATCTCGCTATTCCTCCCACCGCGTTGTTTGGACCGTATTGGTATAAGCAGGATCTAGACTTCTTGCAAATGCTCAAGGATCATATCCCACCCAACCTGAAGGTTCTGTTCCTGCAGGATATTTATCCATGTTGGTCAGAAGAGGAACGCGCTGAGGACTGTGACCCTGAAGCAATATTGCTTCCTAATGACCACAAACTGATCAAAACGTTACTTACTAACAAGGAATTATTCCCTTCGCTAAGATACATTGCTTGGACATCAGAGATCGGTACTGCACCGCCAGAGGATCTTGATGATATGGCCGCAGAGTTGGGAATGGCTCTTGACTTAGTATCTAATAGACTAGAGCTGCCGCCTGATGTAAAATGGCTTGATAGCCTATGATGAGAGAGGAATAGGATAAATGGTTTTTCATAATTCACTCGAAACAGCTGGAATGCGCCAAGAGTATGCGGAACAAACGTCTTAGCGATATTCTCGTAGCCTAAAGCTTACCCTTATGGGCGGCAGTCATCCCCATAGTTCAATTGCTTGTGGACTGGAAGCAGAGTACAAGGAAAACTATGGGAAATTTGGGAACCGGAATGTTAAAGACTGATAACAAAGAAAGAAGATCTGCCTTCCAATTGAATATTCATGATGGTGGACTTGATTATGTCTTATCACAATGCTCCGATAGGCCTCGGCCTGTTCGATCCTTGCTAACAAGACACCTCAGCCCAAGCCAGGCGATTATGCACGGCTGGATTGCTTTGGAAATGCTAAAAATGGAGTTTGGCACATAGGGCCAGTAATTGGAAGAGTGTACGGAGTACTTGCCGTCATTACTAATTTGATCTTACAGCCGCTGTATTTGCAAAGTCCTTGGTGTCCCCTCTATCCATACTGCATAATCTTTTAGATCCGTCTTCTTCTTCTCGGCCCCCACAAGATTAGTCCCATATGCCCCGGAGCTGCTAGAATTACTTGATACTACACGGCTCAAGTAACTGTCAAGCCCTGTAGAGCTACCATCTCGAAGCAGTATGGCGGTGCCCAGTAAGAGATCCATATACAGACTAGTAATATGTCGGTTGCGGTATAAGTGAAGTGCCAGAATTAAAGTGGTGACAAATGTGACGGCAAGGATAACCACTGTAGCAAGGGCAGCAGACTTGACCACAAATAACCTCAGCCTCAGCCGGGACATGGTACCGGCAACATCGCGTCTTTGTGCACTGGAATATCCCTCCAAAGTTACGAAGTTGGAGAACAGGGCGGCAAAGATGATGTTGAATGAATTCGCAATCTTCTGTTTTTCCGGCAATGTATCAAGAGTTGCCTCCCTGGAGGCATGTCCGATGACCAGACGCGAGAAGGTATCCATATCGTTGTATATAGTTGGATCAAAGAGCGAGTATCGAGGGATATTTCGCAGCCAACTGGAGACAAAGAACGGCCAGAACTGCTGGTTACTAGTCTCTGAGACTTTGATCACCTTGGGAGTCGCGGTGTCGTTGAGAAATGACATTTCCAGCGTGACATTGGACTTGTATATCAGAGGCCGACAAGTCACAACCGTTAGGTTCGATAGGTGAAATCGTGCGCTTGCGTTGAAGATCCCTGAGAACATTCCGAATCTTGCTCTGCCGCTGCTCAGACCGCAGTTGGTAGACCAGGTTCTCGCATACTGCAGGGTGTTGTTTGTCAGGGTGAACCACTTCTCGACATCGCAGCCCTCATGCTTAAAGCCGAAACGAATTTGAGCAGAATCCAAGTCGTCGTCCTCCTCGAGATCGAGCCTCACCCCCCCGATGTCAACTAGATCGTCTTCTGTAGCTATAGTGCAGTCAAGATTCGTGGAGTATGCCTCAGTGTCGAAGGTGTAGTTTCCACGGAAGTCCCGAGAAACTGGGACGAATGGCAGGAAAGAATATGTATCTGTTGTCCAAGGATAATTGTCCCCGCTTCTTAAAACCGTGGCACTCACAATGTCGAATGCTGGTGTCACTGATGAGTTGCCGGTGCCCTCTCCCTCGTCCCAACCAAGATATTCATCAAATATCTTCATATTGTAGAGAGTGGTGGGCGTCTCGGAAGGCACCAGAGTTGTCGCAAAGATTGCCGCAGTGAGGCCGCCTGCAGTCCAGAGAGCGGCTCGTAGAAGGAGACATATACCCAACAGAACATGGCCTGCCCGCATGGCCCGAAAGCCATTGATAACAGGCCACTCCCCGTAGTCCAGCAACAAGGTCTTTTCAATCGTAGAGCCTTTATTTTGTGGAGTAGGCTGAGAGTGAGGGGAGTGATGACGAAAGCGTCGTTTCCAAACCTGCTTGAAGAGTTCAACGCCCGGTAGAGGTCTTTGATGTTCTTTGTCGAGTTCGAGAAGCAGATAGACCTTTTTTAACGAATCAAGCATTGCAGACCATAGAGAGGAATAAGCCGACATGATCCATGCCGGGACGGCGGCCCAAACGATAGAAGAGCTAAGAATTGGAGGAGGATGGAATCCTTTTGAATCAAATGAAGGGTCAGGATTGTCTCCCACAGTAGCCAGTCCATTATTTGTATTCGATATATGCCATAGCACAGAGATGGTGGTAATTAAGATGGTTTGACAGACAAGCTGAAGGACCATGCCCCATCCTGTGAGAAGCAGCGGTGGCCTTTGGGGAGGGGCTCTACTTTTGTACGCCTTGTATTTCTTGCTGATATTATTTGGTAATCCTTTAAAGGTGCTAATCACGGATGCGGTTACGCCGCGAAAGACTGGCGATATTATGTCAGAGAAAGCGACCTCTTGTTTCGGGGTCTCAATAGAAGAACGGGAGCAGACAGAAATGGAAATAAAAATATGCCATGTCACTTACATCGACTTATAGAAGTCCAAAAAGACTTCAAGCTGCCGCGATTGGTGTTAGGGCGCATATTGACTTGAAGCACAAAATGCAAGATTGGCCTGGACGTTTTCTCAAATCTCGCTCTGTCGAGGACCAATGCTTGCACTCTTAAGAGAAGGTTTCATCGGAAGTATGGTTCTCCCGGAGGTTCAGGTTAATCACGAAGCTGAGAAGTGATCCCAAAATGGTTAGAAATATTGGTGAGGCTGGATTTAGGGAGGCGATTCGCCAATCACATTGCACGAGTGCCACACCATCTTGCATTGCCGAAAGTGATAATGGCTTATCACCTTTTCAGCTCTCATTTTATTACCGAATCAGAGCCCAGGATAAAAGACACCGGCTGTTCCTGAACTGCTCACATGGCTACTGGAGGTGCGTCAGGTGGAAAGATAAGAGTTCAACCTAAGACATCCTCTCAGACAGAGCAGTCTTATGTACAGCCAGGATCTTCTTTCCAGGCGTCCGTGACTTATTTAGATGCCATTAGCATAGGGAGGCCCTTTTTCATCTCTTTACAGATACGCAACGGAAATAAGCCATCATGAAGCCTGGCATTATATTCGCATATTTGGCGCAGCATTGTGCCGCGCAAACAATTTCAACAAGCTGGACCTGCGAGGCCGGGTCAGATATCACTTCATTTCCTGCTTGCAATGGGTTCCTCAATTCCGGAAATGCTTGCGCGACCGTGTTGGATCGTCCCGGAAAACAGAAATGCCTTTGCAATCAAGAATACCTAGACTCTCTATACAAGTAAGTGTGCGCGACACAACAATTGACAATCATATCGCTGACGCTGACGATAGGTGTGAAAATGAGTTGGAACTCTGCTATCGTGGTAATTACTATCAAGATTCATTCGACAGAGGCATCGAGCTTTGGGACAGCCTTTGCCGTAGCTACGTGACATTCTCGCCAACCACTCCCTCCGCCAAACCATACACGGCTTATCCAGAGGAACTCTGTATCGACGTTGACAAGGCTTGTCAAACGGCCAGGAATATACTTAGCGATTGTCTCCCGTATGTTTCGGATACGGATACGTCGAGATTGAGCTCTTGCGAGTGCCAGCCCACATTGCTTCGGCAGGCTTATACTTGTCAGTATATAGGGAATGTGTCGTGTCTAGCCACAGAAGCTGCGACGACAAACGCGTATGGCTATGGTGTTTGCGACAATTTCGAGTCAGTCATTGGAGCGGAGCATGTGAGTATACCATATATGCAATGATATTAATCGCATAAACTGATTCCGTGCAGTCTGCGAACGATGAACCCGCTCAGACCAATGTTGAGGACCTGCCAACTTTGTCTGCTTCGACACGCGCCACATTGACCATAACAGCATCACAAACTTCGACTCAGACCTCAAGCATCAGTAGTCAAGTTGCACCTGGGATGCTCTTAATGCTAAGTATTATAGCGCTCATCATAATAGGGTAGTCTTATCGAGATATATACTAGTAGCGGTAATTCGGATGTTTGAAGATTGTACAAGTTATTGATTCAGATGGCTTGGCGCACTGGGGCTGAAAGGTGCGATCTGGAATCCAACAGTGCAATTAATTGGCTGCACGAGCATGTAATTCAGACGCTCGAGAACGGTGTGCCTAGGGTACTACCTGAATCAGCCTTCAGATTGTTCTGTTAAGGAATTGCAGTCAGGGCATGGCGGGATAATGGTATGTTTCTCACGAAGCTGTTGATGCTAGCTCGTTGCGTTTTATATCTAAATCTTCCCATATTTTTTTAAGGCACTATTCTATTGGCTCCAAAGCCGCATTGTTGAATGAGGTTAAGTCCAGGGTAGATACAATACTGGTGCGGATCACAGTTATTAAAGAGCCGTCAGCGATGCTAATAGCTGACGGGTATTAGCGCTTTTCTCCGGGTTAATTATTCTCCTAACTATCATCGGCAGATTAGGTAATCTCATCCGTCTAACGTGCATGATAAGCGAGTGCTCCAGACAAGCGAGTGCTCCAAAAATCCCTCAACCTACACTATCACTTTTCAATCAGATATTTCTCAACAATCCAATATGCCAGAGTCTCCAAATGAAGCTAAGATTATTCTTGCCCTTCAGGCCCTCCAGAATGACCCAAAATTAAGTCTTAGAAAGGCCGCAGCTATATATCATGTTGACCGCTTTGCCTTAAG